CCAACATATCGTACATTTCTCACCTAACACAACTCTTTGTGTGCCAGTTGAACTCGGCGTAATGTAGTGTGTGCAATGATTGATCAGAATCATCCTTTTTTGTGTGAGGGTCTTTTGATAACACCTTTTATAAATAAGATTTTTCAGCACATGCCTTAAACAATACACTATAAAATTCCATTGCTACATAATAACAGACTGCCAACATGAACTAGATGACGGTTTTGTTCTGGTGCTGTGCCCTTTTTTGAATTGTTGAGAGATTTGTCACGGCTAGGTCAGGATTTGACTGCTGGAACTTCTAATCCTGTACGGTGCAAAACTTAAGGCTCTGAAGAAATCCATAAATAGACCTGAATATCAAACCTAGAATTTATAGAGTAGGAAAGAAGAACATAAAAAAAAATATTTAGTGCATTGATTGAATGATGCAGTGTTTGGAAAGACTGAATAACTTTCTTTATAAAGAATGTATAGTCCACTTATCAACAGCTAGCTGAGGGCTGTGAAAGAACACATGAATAATTGTACAGATGAAATATGCATGTGACCTCTTGTGCTGTAGCCCAGAGGACATCACCCTTCACAGTGGGAATCGTTGTCCAGCACATTTACTCTGTGAATGTATTCATAGTCCTAGTGGGCGAAGATGGAGAAAGCATATTTAACAGTTCTAAATACATGCAAAAATATAAAAGTTTTCTCAGAAGAAGTGCAGATAACTTATTTCAATGTGTTACAGTTAACTTTGGGAAAACTAACTACTATGACTTTGCAGAAAATATTATTGGTAGTGTCTCAGGAAATTTCACATCTTTGTTTAGCATGCAAAGTGTTTATGCAGTACCAATGCCACATCCTTGTGTGTGAAGGGTGAATATGTATCTGCACATACTTCTGTGTTAGACAGCCTTAATGCATTCGTATTTGAACATACAATTTGAGCTAAATAAACAATCATTTCCATTTACTATAATAGATGTCTAGGTTTCTTCAAAATAAATTTCTTTGTATAGTACTTGAACAAATTTCACTTCAGTGTTTCAACACTTAACTGTAGACATAAAATACAAAAACCCAAGGACCTGAAATATATTACTTTGTCTTTAAAAACAAAACTGTGATAGCCAGGCTTAAACCTTTGGTCAGCTTTCACTGAGCTGCTGATTAAAGTGATTCAGACTTGTTATAGAAGAGAAATATTTACTCGTATCAACAGAAGACAATTACACCAATAAGATTAGTACTATTTATGTGATCATTCTAATTTGAAAGTGAGTGTAGCACTTGTTTTCTTAACTAACTGACATGATGTTGAAAAAGGCAAACAATTAGTTTATCCTTTAGGTTTCTTTAATCTTAATTGACATTTTGGGGCAAAGCAAGATACATTCTATCTTTTTATTATGTGAAAAAATGTATAAATATGCATTCATCGGAATGAGGTTACTGACTGCTAGTTTTTAAGCTAGTGAATGAGTGAATGAAATATTTATAATAAGGAAATAATGTAGATGAATAAGATGCAACTGCCCTGCTCATACAGTGTGGTGAAAAAGTTGGACACCCCCTTATGACTTTATGGTTTAAGAATAAAACATATTTGACTTTCACCTTGTACTCTCCAAGTCCTAACAGTAGATCAAACTAACCTCAATTTGACAGATATCATCACGATATCTACCCTTTTCACAGACTAGATTTGGAAAGCAGTAGCATAGTGGAGGAATGTTCATGGGTTCTTTGCAGCTCCTGTTTTGGTCTTGTGCTGTGTTCTTTGTCCTCTTTCTCCTGTCACTTTTCAAGTACTCCTTAAAACCCAAGCAGGTGTAGCGGCAATGCTTGTTAATAAGACAGAATTAAGTGTTGCTGTGCTTTCCCAAATGAGGCCCCATCTCTCTGTTCATCTCTGTCGTGCAGCCAAAGAGAAGCTATTCATGCAGGCTGATTTAAAGATGTTTT